ATGTAAAAAATAATCATCAATCATCAATTTGCGCTAAGATCGTTTTGCGCTAAGATCAGTTTCTAAGGAACTTAACTTTGACAACCTCTAGAATAGCCTATTATGCCCTTTTTGAGTCACATCTTTGTTATGCCCTTCCATTCTGGGGTACTTGCTGCGCAACAAAATTTGATCGTGTTTTCAGACTTCAAAAGAGAACAGTTCGATATTTATTGAGACTGAACAGTAGAACTCACTGCCAGAATTTCTTTAAAAATTTGAAAATACTGACTCTTCCTTCTTTATTCATTTTTGAATCCGTTTGCTTAATCCGCAAGCACATATCTGCTATTCCCGAAAAGCCATCTCAGAACTATCCACTTAGGAATGCAGAGCACGATCTTTATCTGCCAACCCCGAGCTCAGAACTAGTTAAAGGTTCAATACTGTACAATGCCAAAAAAATGTACAATCATCTGCCTTTGAATATCAAGTCGCTTTCATTCTTTCCCGCATTTCGCAAAGCTCTAAAATCATACTTACTGGAAAGAGTTCTATATGCGGCAAACGACTTTTTTGTTGATGTTTAATTATGAACAATTTTGAATTTTAAAATTTTGATCATCTCGCAGACTGGTCAAAGGTCAAGTATTTAATATTCTATAACTCTAAAATTATATCTATTTACTGCGTACTGTTCTAAAATTGTCCATGTATATTCTTTTTGTAATTTTAAATACTTAAATTTTTTTGAATTGTATTATTTGTATTGTGTATTTTTTGTTGTTTGTATTTTTTTGTGATTTTGTTGTTTTTTGAGTGCTTTGTCGATGAAGCTGTTTTGGCTTTTTGTACAATAAAGCGTTGTTTGTTTATTTGTTTGCACTGATATTATTGGGGTTTTCCTTTGTTGAGATGAAATTTTGTATTTTAAATTATTCTCGCAATATTTTCCTTCAATATTGTTAATATGTTACCAAAATAACGAAAAATATATACAAGGCCTTTCTTTTAGTGCCAATTAATTATCAAAAACACTCCTCTATTTTCTACACGTCTACGGAACATATTTTTGACCAGGTTTACAGAAAAAAAATCGAACCGATAAATTAAAAGTGAAATGTTTTGTCAGCTCTTACTTCTACGCCTATAATTCACACTTGATCGCCTACATGTAACAGATATTTGGAAATTATCATTTTTACAACAGAGCCTCGTGAGAATTTTACAATAAACAACTTACGTAGTTTTCGAACTATAATTTTATACAGTTCCCTGTTATACTTCCGAATTTGTTTTCTTGTTTCTAAATTTTATAAATTTTGTTTAATAATTTTTGTTAATATATTTCTAAAAGCAGCTAAATCTAATGTATGTACAATGTACAGGGTGGCGCAAATTGGACACTTTTAAAAAGAAACACGACCTTTTTTCTATATGAGATAGACGAAAACTAATATCGGTGTCTGGAGCTCAATTTTTATGGTAAACATGATGGTAAAAATTGCACATCGATATCTGTGGCGGTTTCGGAGTTAGAGGGTGTTTTTCAAAAATGTGCATTTTTAACAAATCGCTGTAACTTTTTTGCTAGAGAAAATTTTGTATTTTTATGAAAACATTTCCAAAGCACCTTTTTACGTAGAATTTAAAAGTTTAAATATATTTTTTTTAATGAATGATTTAAGAATTATCAACAGAAAAATTGATTTTTTATTTGGGACACACCCTGTATTATTTTGCCAAAGCATATAGCACACTTGATATTTTGTTATAGTCCCCTTCAAAATACAAAATTTTTAAAAGTTCGCCAATTTTAACTAGTAGGCTTTGGATCCTTTATTGATGATCTGCCTAGTGGAACTCGAAAACATATTTTTCCAGCAAGACGAGGCACCTTGTCAGTACGCTGAAATTGTCAGCAATTTCTTGCAGCCAATTTCGAGAATAATTGAATAGCTAACCAAGGTTCCAGCCGTTGGCCGTCGGGGCCGCCGGACTTAGCGCCTACAGATTTTTATCTTTGCGGAAAAATAAAGGTTCTTATTTTTAAATTGTCCGTATAATCTCTGAGTTAATGAATTCCACGAGAAATGTTCAGGAGATGGTCGATATTTCGAACACCTCATGTAGCAAAATCTCATTTCTTGGATTCTTATTTATTATTATTTTTATTAGATATAGTTTAAATTGTTATAACACTCTGTATCTCTCATTGTAAATATTATTTTCGTTTTAATTGCTGCTCAGAGCTAGCATTTTTTTGCATTACGGCCGGCGCCGCGCCCTTCAAAGCCTACTTATTCAATTATTCAAGTGGGCGAATTTTAAAAAACTCTATATCTTGAAGAGGAATCGAGCAAAATAATAAGTAAGCTATATTTTTGGAAAGAATCAAATTTTCTGTTGATAACTCTTGAATTATTAATTAAAAAAATTATGCTTAAGCCACTAAATTCTACGTAAAAAGATCCTTTGGAAATATTCTCATAAAAATACAAATATTTTCCATAGTAAAAAAGTTACAGCGATTTGTTAAAAATGCACGTTTTTGAAAAAACACCCCGTAACTCTGAAACGGTTGCGGATATCGATATGAGGTTTTACCATCATGTTTTTGATAAAAATTGAGCTCCAGACACCTATATTAGTTTTCGTCGATCTCCTATAGAAAAGGGCGTCTCCCTTTAAAAATGTCCAAATTGATCCACCCTGTACATGGGACCAATACTATTTGACAAATATACAGGGTCCGGCAATAGTGCGTCGGGCATCTGTAGCTCCTAGAATAAAAAACTTGGGAATTTTGATTAAGTGCAAACCTAAAGTATGCGCTACAATGTATTTCAGGAAAATATTTTAACTTCTATAGGGTGGCTCAAAAAAGTGTGAGTGGATCGGGACGATTTTTTTAAATGGAACACTCTGTATATTATTGCATTTTTTGCTTCCTTTCAGATCACTTTACATAATCCTAAGACATGAGTAAATATATTGTGATAATTTCTGAGATATAAATAAATAAATAAAAATTATATATTTTTAAGTCTTTCTTAAAAAAAATATTAATAATACCAAGAACTGTCCTGAAATCAAAACTATATTATATATTTACTTTAGATAGTCTGTACTTACTTTGTTATAAATATGGAAATCGTAAATCATACAGGATGTTTAAAATTCTACGCCAAACTTTCTAAAATATAAAATAATTTTGCTTAGTTTTTTTTAAATAGAACACCCTGTATATTATTTTTTCAATATATGGAGAATTAACAAATGAACCCCCTGTAACAAAAGAACACCCTGTATATTATTTTTTCAATATATGGAGAATTAACAAATGAACATTTTTTGTATTTAGAGTATTTCAAAATTTTTAACAGTTTCGCAGATATTCCGGGTTTTATATTTCATATGGCATTTTCCACAGTAAATTTTTATCAAAGCCACCCATTGATTTTTCTCTGGTATTTTACCAATGAAAGCGCCATATGAAATAATACTGCGTGTATCCGCAAAACTATTAAAAATTTTGAAATACTTTAAATACAAAAATTGTTCATTTTTTAATTCTCCATCTAATAAAAAAATGATATACAGGGTGTTCCATTTAAAAAAACGAAGAAAAATTATTTTATATCTTAGAAAGTTTGGCGTAGAATATTGAACATCCTGTATGATTTACGATTACCATATTTTATAGCAAAGTAAGAACAGAGAATTTAGAAAGTAAATACCTAATATAGATTTGATTTCAGAACAGTTCTTGTATTTTTAATATTTTTTTAAGAAGGGCTGAAAAATATATATTTTTGATTTATTTTTTAATATCTCTGGAACTATCGAAATATATTTACTCATATCTTAGGACCATGTAAAGTGATCTGAAAGGAAGCCAAAAATGCAATAATATACAGGGTGTTCCATTTAAAAAAAATCACCCAGATCCACTCACACTTTTTTGAGCCACCCTATAGAAGATAAAATATTTTCCTGAAATACATCCTAGTGCATACTTAAGTTTTTTATTCTAGGAGCTTCAAATGCCCGACGCACTATTGCCGGACCCTGTATAGCCTACATATAGATCATCTCCTTGAGATCTAGGTACTTCCTTTTTCTCAATAGAATTCTAAAATTTAAATATTTATGCTATGTATGTACACCGGAAAGCGCTAACTTTGACAGTTACTGATCTAAAAGTTAAAATAATTCTGTCACGTATATACACTCTCTTACACAATTGTTATAAACTTTAAACAACTGTTATTCGCTTCATAAAATTTAAATAAAATTTGTATCTGTTTGAATAAACCTTTAAAAGTAAAATAATTGATAATTCGAGTAATTCAAATAAAGAAAATTAAGAAAAGTTATTCGTGCTAAAATAAAAATTGGTGAAATAAGAAAAAAATACAGGGTGAGTCTTGAATAAGTGAAAATATTTTTAGGGCTGGTAGATTTTGATAAAAGAAACATATTTTCTCTTTAGCGTTTTTCAAATAAATCTAAAATACCCGAGATAATATTTTACTTTGAAAATTTCCAAAAAAATATATTTTTTGTTAAAATTTGGACCACTGGAACTTTTCTGGACTTTTTTAGTGTAAATTTAATCTACTACATATGTTGCCATATTATCAACAAATTAACTTTACTACCCCCAAAAATATTTGCACTTTTTTAAGACCCACCCTGTATATTAAAAAGATCATAAATTCTGAAAAAATGGAAATAATAAAATATAAGTTTTAACTAAAGTATTTTCTATAAATAAAATAATAGAAAAAATGGAATGCATAGAGATCAATCACCTTTCAAACTAAACCAAAATAAAATAAAATTAAAAACAAAAAATACCTAATAAAAACGATTATAGATCACAATCTACTATAGCAAATCGGCTTCACAAAGCCACATGTATTTCTAGGTGGCTAGATGGGCGAACTGACTGGGATGCAAATCAAACTGATAGGGATGACCGTAGGGGGACATGTGATATGGAACGATATTCATACTGGCCATCTTGTGCTCCTTTTTCCACTTCATCCGCCGGTTCTGGAACCAGATCTTGATCTGTCGCTCGGTGAGGCAGAGCGCGTGCGCGATCTCTATCCGCCGTCGCCGCGTCAGGTACCGGTTGAAGTGGAACTCCTTTTCCAGCTCTAGTGTTTGGTACCGGGTGTAGGACGTCCTTTGGCGTTTGGTTTCGCCGTTGGCGTTCACTGTACCTGCAACAAGGAACGTTTAATTAGAACAGAATAGGTAAAAGATAATAAATGAAGTACTTGATGGACTAGAAATGAGATGATTTTATTAAACTATTACAAATAGGTCTCATAAAATAATATAGGTTGTTAGGGGTTCCGTAGCTCAAAAACAAGCAATGAAACCCTTATTAATCCAATAAAATTGTCATTTGAAAATAAAAAAATTACGAACAAGCTGATTTTTTCAGAGTTTGTCAGCGACTGTCTTCTGAGTGTAAAATTAACAAAATCGGAAATTTTCCCCTTGTGGTTTTAGAACAATAGGGGTGTTTTTTTTTAAACTGTACTACAACAAAATAATTAGACGCAAATTGTACAGAAGAACATTCTCTAAAGTTCGCCTAATGATTTTTTTTATAAGTTTATTATTTCCGGACATAACGGCTGTTTCATGAGCCCAAAGGTTTTCAAAAAGTTTGTTTTACAGCAAATTGACCCGTATGAAAGTTGTTTATAATAAATGGACAAGCAACTTTTCCTCATGATTTTTTTTGTATGCAATTTTTCGTAAAATTTTCGTATTATTTGCTCCAATTGATTTGTGATATAGTTTTTTAAACTCTGATTTGAGTTTATTTTTTAATATTTTTTTATCTGCAATAAAGCTCACCTATACAGACCGGACCACCGTAGTAGTAACATAGGCAAAACCGGACGAATTAGCGTATATCCGTCCGCCGGATAAAAAGCAGGCGAAAAAATGCGAAAAAATAAAATAGGTAGATATGTGATAAGAATGTCTCAGAATTTGTATTTATTCGTGTTTTAACAGCCAAAATGAATACATAGATTCTCGCGACAGTTCTCGTGTAAAATTTATTTTTTAAGTAAAATAATGGATGTTTACGAAGTTCGTGAGAAAATTAAAATTGTAAAATGGTATTTCCAAAATAGGTTTTATCGGGATATACAAACAATTTTTCCACAAACTTTTGTAAATAGGCCAATTCCATCTTTACCTACTATATCAAGAGTTATTAATAATTTTGAAACACATGGGTCGTGTCCCCACAAAAACACAACAAGCCTGATGTGTTGATTAATGAAGAACAGGAGTTAAAGCAAGTGTTCATTTGTGCTACCGCGGATCAAAATTCCACGTTTTCATGTAATCAAATTGCTGAGGTAACAGATTCTTCACCTAGCACGGTTAAAAGAGTCGTTAAAAAGAATGGATACCGATCATGTAAAGCGCACAAAACTCAAGAAATTTTCCATGAAGACCAATTTCGACGTATGGCGTTTTGTAAATCTGTAATGGAAAAGGCCAATTTAGATGAAAACTTTATTCGGCGTATAGTTTTCACCGACGAATCAAGTTTTCCTTTATTGATTCGTCATAACCCTATATAAGTACGATATTGGTCTCGGGAAAATTTGCACAGATATTTTGAGGTACGCACGCAATCTCCTCAAAAGCTAAATGTTTGGGGTGATTTTGTAGGGGAGCATATGATTGGTCCATTTTTTATAGAGGGTAATTTAACTGTTGCAAAGTATTTGGACTTGTTACAGCAGCAGATTGTCCCTAGAATTCGTAAGTTACTGGGAGAAAGATTCCACAATGTCTGGTTTCAACAAGATGGTTACCCTGCCCACATTGCCCGTATTGTTCAAGAATATTTGAACAATATTCTTCCCAACCGTTTAATTAGTGGACATGGAACTATTTTGTGGCCCGATAGATCACCAGATTTTTCTCCCAATGATTTCTTTTTGTGGGGTTATGTAAAATCTAAAGTGTATGGTCATAATAGGGCTAATAACCTGGATGAACTTCAAGTAAAAATACGAGACGCTTTCCGAACTATTAGCCCTAATATGTTAGCCAATGTTAGATGGGGATTTTACGACCGCCTAGGCTTCTGTCTAGCACAAGAAGATGGTCTTTTTGAACACTTGTTATAACTTTTTTTTTATTTAGAGTAATATTTTAGGTTTTTTGGGTGTTTAGAGAATTTATTTATTTTAAGTTTTGGCTTGTAAACACACTCAAATAATAAATATTTAAGTATTTTTATTTTAAACGTTACCTTAAGTGAAGGTAAACACTTAAAATGAAAATAATAAATACTCGGCACTCCTCGCGTCGTATTCCTAGTGTCACGACCGACCCGTCCAAGCACAACTGCAACTGCGTACTGCCTGACCAGCCGACTAGCCGGCAGTGAATCTCGAGTACGAACGCAAATCGGGTAAATGTAAATTCGTCCGGCAACTTGCTATGTAACTAGTAGCCTAGTCTTCTCTGTATGTTTTTAACATACGCAATTACACGTCTCGTTATATTTCGTACATTATAAAAATTATACAGATTATACTGTGAATAGTTCTGACTGACAACGAAACCCATTAGCAAGTAACGGGGATGTCAATGTTAGTCGGGAACTATTGTGTACTAAAGGCCTAGTTCAAGAAACTATTACTCTGGAGGAACTAGGACTATGGAACTAATTCATCCCAAGGAACTAGAATTTCCACCTCTATTACCTTCTATCCCTTGCTGAGCCGACACACAGTGCTTCGTCCCATGGACAAAAATCGAAAAAAAAGTTAAAATTTACTAATATCTGAATATGTAATTTTATACTTATAGCAATGTTCAACCATCCTGTATATTATTTTTCATAAACAGCGTTTTTTTGTTAGCAAATATTTTCACTAAAAATAAATTTTGCGATCATTATCTTATATCAGTGAAAAGAATAACATTCATAGTAGTTCTGTATATGGAGTTAAACGTTACGTACTTAATTGAAAGTCACTATGGATATTATTAAACAAGGTATGTACTTTAAATTTATTTCTAAACAAGTTCGTTATTGTTTAGTTTTTATTTATTTTTAAGATGATTCTTAAATGGGTATAAAAATTTTACGTTTTCAAACTTCAAAAGGCATTAAAAAAAAACATATCAAAACATATCGTATTTATTGAATATTTTTGTTGCCATATTCATACACTTTTAATTTTTGCATAGTTCACCTGCGTCTGCTTGCGACGAACTTTATTTTATAATACTTTTCAGATGGAGTAAAATTGATAAGCAATGCCGATCTGGTTAATACTTGGCTTGATCATAAGGTCAAGAACTCAAAATTATTTATATTTCAAAAAATGTGTTTCTTTATTAGATATTGATGAACCTTCCAGTCCAATGAGATAACCACTTGTGCCTGAGCCCACTATGTTGGAGCGAAACGTGGCATAAAAAATGTTCCCATCTTTCAATTTATTATAAAACCTCATACCCAAGAAAACGAAAAAATAATATATGGATATGGTCTATTAAAGAGGTAACTATTAACATCCAAACCCCTCATACCAACAAAAAGAACAGTAACAACGCGAAAAAGTAACATATTAGAAAATGATGTACAGAAATATCTTATATGTGAGGATATTTCATCTACCTGTGATTTGGATAGTATAAATTTGGAAGATTCTGTCAGCAATGATTCTTCTGAATCAGAGTAGTTACGATCTATGCATTTTGTTGTCCTAAAGTAAATTTATAGTATCTTAAGTTTTTTTTTAAATTAAATATACCATTAATGTTTCTTTTTCATTAAAGAAAAACATTTTTATCTTATATTAGGTTTATATTGTAGGAATCATGTTCTAATGTTATTCCAATTCTTTTTTATCACAGGAATTTATTTAATACTTACACCGTTTTCATACTATAAATTATTATTTCCTTAGATGGAACACAGCTCCAACATTTTTATTATTTATAAGATTTTGTTTCATAAACGTGGGACTAGAACATCATCATTTAGTACAATGAGAGTACTCATCATTTGTGTCAAATAAACCTAGTTTGAATAAATTGCCTGCAATAAAAGAGAAGTTTTGCATTTTTGTCCTCTAGAGCCATATATTCGAAGCACTGTGCGACACCCAGAGTAGGAGGACTTTATTTTCTTTCCCTAATTTGTTCAGCTTCTCAGCACAAGAGTAAAACACTCCATATTTTCCATCATCTCTTAATCTATAACCTCGTCGGTCACTCCCAACCAACGATTCCCGAACCGTTCAGTATAATTTACGAGTTCTGTGCCTCCATCGTACGTTGCTCGCAAGACGGCCGTTCGTAACTCACGTACACAAGTGCACAGGTGACTCTCCCATCTCTCTTGCTCTCAGCGGAGCGGATCGCGGCAAAATCAAACGACAATCTGTTTATTTGCACGTCGCGGTGTGTGTTTTTCCACAAGCGAAATGTTTTATTTCTTCCTCCAGGATTATGAATGCAGAAAGGAAGGGCTGTGGATTTTTTCAATGATTAATGTCGGTTCTTGGCGATTTATAGGTTAGTTAATTAGTGACATTAGAGAGGAAAAAATGAGAAATAATGTATTATAAGAAATTCAAGTTCCTTTATTGCATACCGGGTGCGTCTCAAAAATGGCTCACCCTTACAACTTTTATATTTTTTTTAGATAAAACAACGAGATTTGGTATGCTAGTATATGATATAAATTAGGATTGATTAACATATTCAATTGTTTTCGGTTACTTCTAGTTTCTTCACCGGAAATGACTACAACTTTTGGTTTTTAAATGGCACCCTCGGTATTTTTTCACTTTATTCCTTTGAATAAGAAGACTAAGGAAGGAGCATAATGCTATCCATGTATTCATGCATGGTGGGCGGAAAAGCCACCATAAAAGCTCTCTAGGGTGGGGATCCTTGACAGTTCTGTTTGACGATTCATTTGACACATTTGAATTTGATTTGAAATTTTGTGGATTTGTCAGTCTTTACGGAGCTTATTTTATGTTATTTATTATTTATTCTACTACTGATAGTGGTATAAAGATAGTAAATCTCGATGGAAATTGTGGCAGAACTTAAATTAACAGTGACACTATCGCGATTTATCGAAAAAGACTCTAAAATAGTTCGTTGTGTATCGTGCGGTAGATCTCGGCAAAAATTGAGTGAAATAATGGGA